GAGATTGTAAAATGAGGGCCCGCATTGTTGGGACCGATGTGCTGACACTCTGGCAGCACTGCCAGAGTGCTGTAAAACACTGTGAAGCAATATCTAAGTGTTATTGTTATTGCTATAACATAAAACTAATTAGAAAGAAATACTTCATTGAGACATTCTAGGAATAAAGGTTTCTGAAAATCTTTATGTATTTCTTTTCTGAAACAATGGATTTGGTCTACAATACTGGCATGTGAACTGCTTTCCTGTCCCTTCCATCTTGTTTTAATTTCTTTCGTTCCCACCCCAAGAAATATAATTTGAAAATCAGGAGAAAGAAAAAATTTAAGGAGATGCAGGCATCCCTCATAAAACATGAAATAGACTGCTTTTCTGCCCTTGCTTAGCATAATAGCTCACCCTCTTCAGGGGACCCTTTCAAAAGAAGTTTGAGAAGGGAGGGGGCTGCCCTGGGGAAATGATTACTGAAATGAATGAATGGCTCTAAGAATTTAAGTCATGCTAGCCCTGCATTTGCAAAATGCAACCTCTTAAAAATGGATAAACTTTCTCATATTAAGTTTTCTGTTTCTTTGGTGTCCAGACTAAGTATGAAAACATGTCATCAACTTGTATCCTCCCCCCCCCCGCCCCTTTAAACACTTTCAGACTTTTTTCAGGCATTTTTAGTAACTTGTTGCCAAGACTGCTTTAGGGAAGAAGAGAGAGAAAATGAGCAAAGAAAACAATTGATCATTTACAGTCCTTTCTGGCTATTTCCTTTGATCCGAATCTCAAAAAATTCATTCTATAGGCAACATGGCTTCCAAAAAGATTTAAAGGGAAGGGATTGGATGCGGCAGTACAGAGGACAGGAATATGCAGCGAGATGCCTTGTAAGAAAAAAATGTTAATCAGTTCAGGCCCTTAGGAGTCTACACAGAAACCGTGACTGCAATCCAGAATTAAAACAGTCATTAGTTTCACCAAATCGTGCTAAAAAAAGCTGAATAATGGACAGTGTGCATAAGGAAACAGGCAAAAGATCACCCAAGGACATCACTTTGGCAAAGTATTCTGAATCTTTCATTTTCAATGTCCTTTTTATCTCACAAGGAAATGGATAACAATTTGTCAAATAGCTCATCCTAGTAATTGCATAACTCTACACAATGCGCTCTTTATAATGGTGTGGAAAAAAGAAGTGCTTTCAGTAATAATGGAGTTCTTTCACATATTGTCATATAGGTGTTACAGACTTACATACATGCCCTTACATACAGGGCATGCCTAAGAGCTTTAGATGGTTTTGCAGGGATTATTTCAGATGGTTATTCTTACCTCAGGTATCTGGACAGCTGGGTTCCCCATAGCTGGCCGCTGAAGGAAAACAATTTGCTTAGTGGCTAGATTGCCTTCGCTGAAACATTAAAGAAACTGTTTTTAAAATTCTGTCTTTCTCTGGTTTTGTTCATATACAATTCTACAGTATTCACTGGAATTAATGAGGCCGAAACTGGACCAAACTTTATTAGTGAGGTGCCACATACAACAAACATACTTGTGGGTGTATTTAACACATTTATTTATATATTGCTTTCCTTTTAGCATCCAGCAAAAAAGACAGTGCTCCTTTCAGTCACAACAGATTCAATCGTATGCTATTTCAGCAAGGGAGGAATCTCATCTGCCATCAGGCCCTGTTCTCAGGAGCCACTTCATTCCTATCTACCAAGCAATTCTTTTTGATGCTAAATGTTGTAGCTTATGATTTTCTTTATACATTGTTCTAAAATAATCTCCCCCTTAAGTTTTTTAAGTCAGCTGTCACCCCATCATATTATGCTTTTTCTGGAAAAATTGAGGATGAAATGTCCCATACAAAAATATATATATAGAACATCAATATATCATCAACATCAATATTATATTCATGAAATTACTGACTATGCTTTTCCAAGCAAATTTTTCTCTTAATATTTAAATGTACTAGCAAAATTTATTCAGAGGCAATGCAGCCTCTAAAATTACCTTATCTTCAGTGAATGAACAGCTACTCATGCCCACATTTGTTACATCTGTTAATGTAAATAGTACATATTTGGCTTTCCCTAACACTAATGTGGAATTAATGATCTGTATTGATGAGTATTTTAAAGGAGCATTTTTGTTTTCATTAACTTTTTAAATTTCATAAACATGACTTATACTGTATTTTTTGGACTATAATACACACAGGAGTATAAAACATACCGGAGTATAAGATGCACCATGATTTTGAAGAGGTAAATTTAAATTTAAAAAAAATATGTGTTTGCACTCTGCAGGCCTCCCAAACCCTCTGCAAAAAAAAAGGATATGCAGACCTTTGGGAAGCTTGTAGCGTGCTCCTGGGGGCTGGGTAGGAAGGGTCAAAAACTAGCAAAAAAACACCCTGTTTTTAGCAAAAACAGGCTCTTTTAGGGAAAAAAGGGGCATGCAGAAATTTTGGGAGGCTTGCAGAGTGCTCCTGGGGACGAGCAAAAACAGCCTGGCTTTTTGCTCATTTTTGCCCTCCCCAGCCCCCAGAAGCACTTTGCAAGCCTCCCAAACCCTCTGCACATCATTTTTGCAAAGGGGGCGGGGTTTTGGGAGGCCAAAAATGCTGTATTCAGTGTATAAGACGCACCTAGATTTCACCCTGTTTTTTTGGGGGGGGGAGTGCATCTTATACTCCGAAAAATACGGAGTATTCTTATTACTTTATTTATTATATAAATTCTTATTACAACATCTGTCTGTCTTGAAAGAGCTTCCTTCATCCTAAGTATTGTCAAATAATCTGGGTCCACATATTATGCAAAGAACCAATGTGGTTTGTTTAGTTTTGGTTTGGCACACTATGTGAGCTCCATCCTTATTACGTTCATCCCAAAAAGTTAAATTTGCCCTCCAGATAGTCCCATTTCCTTGTGAACATATACATGACTTTTTTTGTTGATTTGTTTTTGCTTTGGGGGGAGGGGGTGTTTTGCTTTTGGCAACAATAGCAAAGTGTCTTCCAGGATTATTTTTCATCTAGACTGCAGCCCTTGTTTTTCCTGATAGCTTGATCAAACAGTGATTTAGAAAATTGGCTTAATACAATGCCTGATATTAGCAACAGTATGATCTGAATCAATCAGTCAATCAATCAATCATTAGCTTTGTAAACCATGGGATTCCATTGAGAATGCTCATGGATTATATTAGAAAGACAAGAGAAAAAGGGGACTTCTCAGTTATTTTTCTGGTGTTTTTTTTTAAAAAGTGGGGTTAAGAATTTATCTGAAACAAGTCATCTTTCTATATCCTATTTTATGTTGTGACACCATAGAATCATCAAAGGCATTAACTCGTGGCTAAAACTTTAAAAGTTTAAATAAATGTTCCATGCTGAAGTACTAAAGCTGCTTTAAAGAACAACTTTAAAATAGACCTGGCCTTATTAAAATGCTGAACACGATAAATGTCAGGGGATAAATTCACAATTGAACTGAATGAAGTTGGGATTGCCCCTGAATTTCAATGAAGGAGGGAAAGAAAGTACATTAAAAAGATCTGTTTATATGTTGAATTTTCTTCTTATATTTTGTCTTAACAAAAGATATAGATGGACTTGGATCGAAAAATGAGGAAGAAAACACATTGCTGCAACTAGATATTTATCATAGCTTTTGCCTTTTTAATTTACTACTTGCAGATTATATTTAATGGCATTATTGGACTTGTTCACCAGTAAGAATTGAATTTATACGGATTGTTCTGTTTATTTTCATACTGGAATACAAGAAAATAATAAATAATTTAGTGAAAGACTAAATTACATAATGCATTAAATGCATCATATGCTGTTTTGACAGGATATATCACCTTGATTTCTGTTATGGTCAGTTAGTAAAGATAATGTGAACCCTATTAATGACAATCATGCTAAGATGTCCAAATCCCTGCTGGCAGATCTAAAGAGAGAGAAGCATTTGTATCCTTCCATCCATGTTTGACAACCTCCACCTTTCACTGCAAAGGAAAGCTTACAATTTCCTCCAAAGTCAGGCTTGTGGGCAAGAGTTGAGAGAGCTTGAGTGGTTGTTTTTTTTTACTTGCCCCTGAAATAGCCCAATACCTTTTCTAAAGCTTTATTTATTTGGGACTTTCCAATCCTTGAAAGGGTTTTCTGGAAAGTAGTATCCAAGGAATCCTATGACCCATGGGTACACAGGGTGACATCTAAACTTTGAGCAAGCAAAAAAGTGCTTTCATATGTGTAAGAAGGGAGAAATTCCAGTAGCTCTTCTTGCCACCGTCCCCATTTTCCGGGGGGGGGGGGGGATCTTTTTCTACAATGGTTGTTTTTTGGTGGGTCTACTTTAGGGAGAGGAACAACAGGAAATCTTACTGTGAAAATAGAAACTCTTCTAATTACAGGATTTAAAGAATTATTTGGGGGGAAATGCTAATATTCCTGTAATCCTCTGAAGAAACTGTGTGTGAACTGATGCAAACGAAAACTTCTCTGCATTTGGAAGAAAGTAAAAGCTATTAATATTCCACTTGCGTACTGAGGTCAGAGTTCAAAGTCTGTGGGAAAAACAGAACTGCAGACTGAAAAACATGTTATTCTTTTTTTTTAACCATGTGAGCAACGTCGCATGACAATGTGAGTATAAAGTGTTTCACACAAATTAATGCAGCACTTCCTCAATTTTTAAAATGAAAGTAGTAACTACATTTATAATTTACAGTTGCTAGCAGTCTATTCTGGAAGGTGGAGAGAGTACTTTAAAAAAAAGATGACTTAATTCAGTAACTTGGACTGCACTTTTAAAACTGAACCAAAAAACATCTTCCCCACTTACAACCAATTTCCCAGATGCGTCAGGACTCCGATTTAGCCATGAATGTGCCAAAACAGGCTTCCAGGCTACAGATTCCTTTGTATAGAAATGCTTTGTGCCTCATTCATGTGGCTGATCCAATTCCCTGGCAGGTTCACATAGTCCTCAGTCAATAAATGGGGGCTGGAATCACTTGCTTTAAGAAGCTGATAAAGAAAGCTTTGAACTTTAAAAAAAAACTTTTTCCCCTGATAGCTGATTAAGAAAGGCTGCTGTCCCAACACATTATATTGGATTGAGCTTACGTCCCTTCTGATCACCTATATGTTTTTAAAGGAAGAAGTAGATAGGATGAACTAATTGTTGGAAAACGAGTGCTCCAAATACACTTTTACATATCCGGTTTTTGTAGATTGTTGTGTTATTTGGAATGATACACCAGTGATTTAGAAACTGTCAGGAAGACAATAGTAATATGTGTCTTATTTATATTAATAATTTTTCTGTGTATAAGGTGAGAAATTATCAATTTCCCATCAGTTGTACAATAGTCCAAACTTGGCTCTGCCAGTTAGTTTGGGGCTCCAATGGGGGAACATCACATTGGAGGTGGTTGATTAACAACAAATCCCACCTCTCTTCCCTTCCTCCCGCTCCCGGCCTCCATGTCTTTTAATTGGCTTTCAACGTTTGGATTTTGTGTTGCCTTATTTATGTTTTTAGCTTACATCGTTTTTTATCTTTTATATTGTAAGCCACTCAAGTTACACCTTGAGATAAGATGGGTGGCCTATAAATTTTATAAATAAAATAAAATCAGTAAACTATATTTGAAAATCATTTTATCTTTGGGAGTCCTTTTCAGAAGACTAGCTAGAAAAGCAGATTTAACTTCCTTTTAAATATGTACAATTTCCTCTTTCTCCTATTAAATAATTATGTTCAGAAATCTTCATAAGAAATGAATGCTTTCTTTGTGGACTAGTATTTCTTTAATTGCATATGATAAAAATAAGTTTTGCATTTGTTACAATTTGATACAATAAAATATTAGGATATGTGGAATTAAGAATAGTTCTAAAGAACAGGGTTAAATGTATGTGTGTATGTGTTTGTGTGCATATATGGACATGCGTACGCATACTGAATAGCTAGTTGGCATGTAACTTTGGTCCCCCATTTGGCAGCTGTGATGACAGCCTTTACCCCTCTATGTGTAGGAAAGTTATAGTTCATGATCTACACCCATCTTTACATGCCTTATTTTCATAAAGGACTTTTTATTTATTATTACTCCAAAAAATACGATATAGTTTTGCTTATTCATTACTACCATATGATAGCTATTTAATGACTAAAATGCTGTTTCCTGCAATAGTCCCTTGGTTATAAAATATTTCAAATTTCCTTTTTTTCCCTAATGCCCCTTCTGTTATCGATAAATACTCAAGATAAGGATGGAGTTTATGAGCTGAGTCTATTTGCCTTCATTCTATATGAGCTAAGCTTGTTCTTGAAAGACATGCTTTTTGGTCTGCAAAGATACTGATGGAAATAATGAGATAATATATCTCCTGGTAACTTTTCTTAGTTGATCACTTTAGCGTGCAATAGGCAAGAAATGTAATTCTAGGAGATGAGACTCCTAGGACACTTATTTCATTCAGGCATTTCAAACTTTAAATGCTCATCTTCAGAAAACACTAAATGTTATTTTTTAATCTGTAGATGAATATTTCTAAGATATTATTTTTAAACTGGGAATTCAAAAATTGCTGTTATCCCTGTGAGAAATACCATAGAGCTGTCTGGAATACTGATTCTGCCTTTCAGTTAAAGAGAATTGGTGCAGGACCTAGGCCAATTCTCATGAAATAAATATCTAATTGCTTTAATCAATTCCTAAATTACTCTGCCCTACAACAGATTAAATGGAAAGGTCCCCTCCACCCCCACCTCGGCTCAAGCAATTGTTATTGAAGTAGTGGGCCAGCTGCCTAGGAGGTATCATAGAGAGAGATTGTTTAATTGTGCCAAATAGATGTTTAGACCATTACAGCCCTATGCAGACATTAAAAAAAGGAAAAATCACCAATGTGGAAGACAATACAGATATTTGAAAATATGAAAGCTTTCTTTGTGCAGACAACTAAACTATTTGCTGTGTTCTCAGATGGAGATTTGAGTAAGTTGAACATGGATATCATCCATAAATACATAGACCAAGGAGATGTCACATGCTACAACTTACTGCTTGTGTAGTTCTGAATCATTCATTAATTATTCCATTTATTCTCATGTTTGCTTTACAGGTAGTCCTCACCTTATGACCAGTTGAGCCCAAAATTTCTATTGCTAAGTGAGAGATTGGTTAAGTGAGCTTTGGCTCATTTTATAATCTTTCTTGCCACAATTGTTAAGTGAATCACAGCGGTTGTTAAGTTAGCAACATTGTTGTTAAGTGAATCTGGCTTCCCCATTGACTTTGCTGGTCAGAAGGTCACAAAGGTGATCACATGACCCTGGGACACTGTAACCATCATAAATATGAGTCATTTGCCAAGCATCTGAATTTTGATCATGTGACAATGGGGATGCTGCAATGGTCATAAATGTGAAAAACAGTCATAAGTCACTTTTTCCAATGCCGTTGGAAGAGTCATTAAAGAAACTGTTGGAAGTAAGTCAAAGACTACCTGTATACTCTTGTTGTATTTAGCAAGTAATCCTCAGCTTCATATTTCAACAAGCATTTCCTAAGTTTCTCAATGATCCATTCAAGAGGAAAATGTCTCTGATTCAGCCACCATTCTGCAAATCTCAAATGGTGGCCTGAAACTTCATTTCTTTCAGTCTTTCAAAATCAAGCACAAGAATACCAAAATCTCATGAGATTTCCCATATCTCAACAGTTGCACATTAGATTGCTGAAATATTTTATACGTATAGGCACAAATCTCTCTCTTTCTCTCTCTCTATCTCTCTATCTATACATACATACACACACACACAAACATATTATAATATATATAATATTAATATATGTATTCAATTACATTCCCAGAAATAGGAAGATAAATTGTTATTTCATCTACCTGTCCAGTCGTATGACAGGAGTAGGTAACACACATGTTAAAAGCCAGCCAAATTCAGCCAAAGTGTGCAGTAAAGGACCATAATCAGTTTTGATTTCACTGCCCTGTTAACAAAAATAGATACAGAAATATATACGTAAGAATAGGGTAAGCATTTCCACAGACTAACCACGAGATGTAGAGAGGAAGGAAGGGGAAACCCAAAGATCCATGCATATTAAAAAAGGATGATTAACCATTAACATACAAAAAATAAGAACAGTATGCGCACATGCATGCACAGACATGCAAATACTTTTCTGGCATAGTTATGTTTCTTCCTATTACTGTTCTGGTGTGTTTATAGAAAGAAATTTGACAATTACATATTTATTTTCCTAAAGAAATTCAGTTCTTTAGTTCCATTTTATTTTTAGTGTAGAAAAAACAAGTCAAAACTTCTCTCCATTTGTGGTATGCATGCCAAAATCTGATTTTATAATATTTACTATAATAGAGCAACTCAATGCTGGTCTAATCACAAATAAAATCCCATTCCTGGAGTTGCAATCGTATTCAGTTTTACAACACACTGGAAATTACATTAATATATACTTTTAATATATATGACTTATCAAACATTTTAAAAGTTATGGTACACATCATTTTCTTTTCCATTGGTTAAGTAATAATTTTGTTTATGTAGCAGCATAATAGTTTTTAAAGTATTATGTTATATTACACAAATATTATTACTACTCGTATAGTGTCAAAGAAAAAATTCAAATTACATCAAGTCAAAAGATTTGTGTGTGTGTGTGGTCTAGAAATGTTCTTGTTCCTCACAGCGCTTTTTCCCTAATCTTCTCTTTAATTTCTAAATGTGATTAAACCTAAAAGTACATATATATTGTGACTTTAATGATGTAAGTAAATTGAAGAGCTAAGAACAAAGAAGAAATTATCGATAGATAGATAGATGGATGGATGAATAGATAGATAGATGGATGGATGGGGAGAGGGAGAGAGGACTTTCCCCTCATTGAAAGTCATATCACTACTGTTGGACCTTTTTTTTTTTTTAATCATAAAAAAGGTGGGAAAGGGGAAAAAACTAAGCAGTGTGTAACTCTCTTTCATCTATAAATGAATTTTCTCTAGAATGGAGATTTTTTCCCCAGTTTATTCCTATCTCTTTCTGAATTCCAAAAGTCCCACTACAACAGCTGCCTGAATGAGTTACTTGAAGCAATAATAAGAGTTCGGCAACTTCTAGATGTTTTGGACTATTTCACAGCTCCTTTCTTCTCTTTAAGTCTATTAGCTGAGATAAATCAAAGTTTAAAAGTTCTGAAGACTTCATTATTTGTCCCTGACATATATGGTACAATGATTTCTGATTAAATTTAAAACTAATCAAAGACATTTATTCCAGTTGTCAACACTTATTTATGGAATAACTTGAACTGATCAGCTTTTTTGTGGGATGAAATGAGTAATTATTTTGTTCTTCCAAGTGGAGGTGTATTACAGATATGCATTGTCAGCGAATGGCTGCTTCTTTAGACGAACTTTATGACAAAGAGTCCTGCATTACAACATATAAAATATACAAATCCCAATGGAGGATGCTTCTCAGCATGAACTACCGGTATTCAATATATGTGACACAGAAATGGCAATATAGTAAACCCTCTATTTAACAGTCTTCAGTGTAATTTGGATTTAACAGACAAAATACTCTAGATCTGAATTGTTCCAACAAATTTACTGTATAAGAACGGACTTTGCTACCTTTTACTGCTAACAAGAAGGAATATAGCAGGGGAATAGAAGTTGAGAGACTAGAGTATAGGACTAGACATCTTAACGAAAAGTGGATGGTTGAAAAGAGGGATATGGAAAATTTAAACAGAACATTATCTTTAATGACTACCTATCATCAACAACTTTTTATTGTGACAACCACTCCTACCATTGTTACTGTAAAGATTTGGTCTTTATGGACACTAGAAAACAAAGATATATACAAGGAATGATTATCTAAAATGATAATTGAAATGTGAGTTATTTTCTGCTGAAACCTCAAATACGTTTAAAATTACAAGATATCACAAACTTGCTCACATATTGATTATTTTTCTAATTGTATACTGAGTTTATGTAAACCCTTGAAATTAATCAGGAAGAGTAATTTAAATTGTCAAAAACAAAAATAGGGAATTACCTCAATGACAGTCCATTGTTCTACAACAATAGCATCATTTCCTTTCCTCTCTGAACCTGGAAACCCCGGTTCTTCTTCATATATAAATAACCCTTCTAATGATTTGGGCCCAAAGTCAGCTAAAGAAAGAAAAAAAAGGAAAAGTAGTAAATAATAGTAATTTAGAAAATATCTAAACTGTATAGTACTATACTTATGTATTAAGAGGAGTATACTTTCCTTTTCTGTCTCACACTTGATCATTCTGATATGATTGTGAATGAACAGGATTTGGTTAATATATATTACTTACTTACTTACTTATGTAAGGTTTAGACCAGGGGTAGTCAACCTTTTTATACCTACCGCCCACTTTTGTATCTCTGCTCATAGTAAACTTTTTTGACCGCCCACCGGTTCCACAGTAAAGGTGATTTATAAAGTAGGGAAATAACTTTACTTTATAAAATTTATAAAGCAGAGTTACAGCAATCCCCTACCGCCCACCATGAGAGCTGGAACACCCACTAGTGGGTGGTAGGGACCACTGGTTTAGACATTGCTCATCTTACTTTCTAAGTGACTGTGGTGGTTAAGTTTTTTTCCTGTCAAATGTCACATATCTTGGGTTTCTATGATGAGTAGAGTTAGAACGGGTAGAAATGAGGTCAGAGCCCAAAGTGCATTTGGCCATTACCCCCTGGCCAGCAGAGGTCAGCCTTTTTTAAAGCCATTTTTCGCCCTCCCCAGGCTCCAGAGACTTTATAGGAGCCTGGGGAGGGCAAAAAGAGCTTTAAAAAAGGCTGACCTCTGCTGGCCAGG